TGGGGGCAGAACACATTCCAACTGTAGCAATGCACCATGGGTAGAATACCAGGTGTTTTGTTTCGTTGTTTTGCTTTCGTTGTTGTTTTTAAAATGATCCTGCTCATAAATACTGCCTGAAGGACACCCCTGTGAATTATCTTCAGATCCTAATGAAAGGGCACTCTGTGGGGCTGTGTGCCCTGCCCTTAGGAGCCAGGCATTAGCGTTCCGCTGCAGCTTTGCTTTGCATGTGTATTTCCGTGCATGTTTTTGTTTTTGATCTATTTAAAACTTGCAGACAGCTTGCTTGTTTTCTAATAACTTTGATGGTTTTCTTTGCCACGTCAGCATTTTTTTATTCCCCCATTCAATAGAAAGGATATATTTTTTCTTCCTGCCTTTTGTTTTTCTCTTTCATTTATTATTTAATTGTATTCATCATCATCATCGTCATTTTTTTTTTAATTTGACCAGCGAGAGTGAGAACAAGAGAGGAAAAGAGAGAAAGCAAGCCACCAGGTTTGGGACGGGAACGGCCGTCAGCCATGGGGGAGTCCAGTGCCTCCAGTCACTATGGCCCTTCTTGGCCCCGTCTTCCTGAGTTTTCATCTCTCATTGTTGTCTTGCCCTGAGCTGCAGAGACCGCTCTGCTCTGCGTCCTGGTTTTGCGTCTTCTCCGCTGTCTGGACCCTGCTGTTAGCTTCACTGTGTGCTCTGCTTCCCCACCCCGACAAGTGCTCCTGCCCCCTCTCGAGTTTCTACAAGTGTAGCTGCCTTTGCACAGACCCAAGGTCGTTGTCTCCTGCATGCCTCTGTCTCCAGGTGGGCACTGACTGGCCTGATTGTCCTTGTCACTTTAAGAAAAAATTGACTGTTTTAGAATGATTTTAGATTTGCAGAGGTGTTGTGAAAATAATGTAGAGGGTTCTCGTGTACCCTGTCCTTTGCCCTTCCAGGATTTTGAGCACTCCTGCATACATGTCTGGAGTGTTTTTCAAGTTGCTGGGGCCAGGATTCGAACAGTGTGATTGGCCACCTGGGATCTGGCTCCCTTAGCCATAAGACCACTCAGCCTTCTTTTGCCTATTTTTAATTAGATGATTTATTTTCTTATTGTGGAATTTTAAGAATTCTTTGCATAATTCTGAGACAAATCTTTGTCAGGAGATGTGTTTTGCGAATAGTTTCTCTCAGTGGTTTATCTTTTGATTCTCTGAAGTGTTTTCTGCAGAGCAAAATATTTTAGTTTTAATAAAGTCTAACATCAAATTTTTCCCATGGATCATGCTTTGGTGTTGTGTATAAGAAGTCATTGCCAGACTAAGGTCATTCTGTGTTATATTTAAAGTCTTGTGTTTTATATTTAGGTCTATGACACCCATTTTTAGTTCATTTTTTGTGAAGGATGTCTAGGTTCTGCTTTTTTTCTTTTGGCTATGGGGTGTGTACACTCCCTAGAGAGAGATAGAGAAAGTGAGAAATCACCCCCCAGGGAGAATGACCATGCTGCAGTCTCCTCTTTTCCATTCTCCTCTTGGGATTTTGGGTACACATGCAGACACGCCCAGCGTGTTCTCTAAGCCACCAGGTCTGGGACTCGAACTCTGTACTCGTCCATGTGGGATCCAGCTGCCCTGACTACCACGCCACCTGGCAGGCCCTAGCACTATTTTTTGAAAGGACTTATCTTCTCTTTTAAATTGCCTTGGCTGCTTTCCCAGGGATCAGTTGATTGCATTTGTATTGCTTCGTTTCTGGGCTCTCTATTCCATTTCATTTGCCTTTGTATCTGTTCTAATTGCCAGGACCACACTGTCTTAACTAGTGTCGCTTTGTAGTAAGTCTTGAAATTGTGGAGTGTGAATCTTCCAATTCTGCTCATCTTCAGTGTTTTTTTTTTTTTTTTTTTTTGAGAGATGTGTGCACTGCCTAGAGAGACAAGAGAGAAAGAAAACGAGAAATCACCCGCCCCGGAGAGGGGGGATGGCCACTCCATAATCCCTTCTCCTCCAGTCTCATCTCAGGATTTTGGGCATGCACACACACACACGCGTCCAGCATGAGTTTTATACCGCCTGGATTCGAACCTTGGTCAGCTGTGTGGGAGTCCAGTGATGTAACCATTATGCCATCTGCTGGCCCCTCTTCTTCAGTTTCATGTTGGCTTTTCTAGGTATTCGATTTTTCTTATAAACTTTATAATCAGTTTTCAATATTACAAAATAGCATGCTGAGATTTTTAATAGGATTGCATTGAATTTTTAAATCAAAGTGGGAGGAATTGATTTTTTAACAGTATTAAACCTCTCAACTCGAACTTGGACTGTCACTCTATTTAGAACTTCTTCGATCCCTTTCATTAGAGTTTTGGAGTTTTATGTACATAAAATCTGTGCAGATTAAATGAGGCTTGTGCCTAACAAAAATATCTTTTACTATTGACAATGATGTTTAATTTTTTAAGAAGTTTCAATTGTTGGGATTAGCTGATGGCATAATGGTTACCTTACTGGACTCCCATGTAATTGACTGTGGTTCGAGTCCCAGACCTGGCGGCTTAAAACTTGTGCTGGATTTGTGTGTGTGCATGCCCCAAATCCCGAGAGGATAATAGAGGAGAAGGGATTGTGGCATGGCCATCCCTCCTGGGGGGTGATTTTTCACTTTCTGTCTCTCTGCCTTTTTGACTCACTGGTTAGCACGTGCACCCTATAGCGAAAATCTCTTTTAAAAAAAAAAAAAACTCAATTGTTTTTGCTAGTATTCAGCAAAGCAGTTTTTACAACAGCTTTGCTGTACTTGCTTTTAAGTTCCTTAAGTTTTTCTTGTCGATTCTTTGAGATTTCCCCACAAAGACAAGCGTGTCATCTGTGAATAAAGCTTTCTTTCTCCCCTGTGTGTGTAACTCGGGAACTGAACCTGTATCTTCATCAGCCCCCAGCGTTGCAGAGCAGCACACAGCGGGTGCCGAGCGTGCCTCTGCTCTGGGTCCAGGCCAGTGTTTTGTAGCATGTCCCAAAGTCTGGGTGTGTCTGCCATTTTGTCATGACTGGATTCAGGTAATGAACCTCTGGCAGGAATCACAGAAGTGATGCTGCTTCTCTTCCTCACACCCTACCAGGCAGAAGGCCATGGTGATTCCATCCATTCCTAGTCGTGTCCACTTTGGTCACTTGATTAGGAGTGGTCACCAGTTTTCCACACTCTACATATTATAAAAATGTTACCCCCTTTTTTGTTTGTTTGTTTGTAATTAACAAGTGTTTTGTGAAGAAGTACTTTGCAACAATGTGAATTTCTCGCCTTTCATCAAGGATTCCCTTATACACTGTGTCTGTCAGCCTGGTCTCCTGCCTTCCTGTTTTAGTCAATGGCTGCAGCCCATCGCTGTCATTCTGATGCTCAGATTGTCCAGGTTTGCCCACTGGGAGGCTTTCAAGCTGGCATGTTCCATCGCTCTTCGTAAGTTCTGGCTCAGTAAAACATGGCAGCCTCAGCTTCTCCTCTCCCTGTGTTGGCCCTGGAATAAGCCACTTCTCCAAGGAGCTCTGGTCCCATAGTGAGAAACGGTGTTTCAGACCGCTAGGTGGAGGCCCATACGTGCTCACTGCTAACAGGGAGCCCAGGACCCCTCGGTGCACAGAGCTAGGGCTATAAGCCTGCTTTATATGTGTGTATATAGATGGAGGTACATCTGTGCATTTATACATATTTTACACACGCACCACCACGGCTGGGCCGTATTTAGATTTTAGGTATTTCTACACATAGGAAAACTGAATTCAGACCGATACTTCTGATTGCAATCCAGTACCACAGGGCTCATTCGCATTTCTTCCCATATGTGCAGCTCCCTTGTCCAAGTCTCAAAAACCCGGGCCGTTATTCCCAGTCCTTTTACTTACCTGCTCGATCCTCCTGTGGCGTCCAATGTCCCCTTCCCTGGCAGATGCCCTCCTCACCCTGTCCCTGCTGCAGCTGTCCACACAGCCACCCCGGGGACCTGCCCCACTGCCCTAGGAAAAGGAAGAAACGGCCAGGGAGTTTTAACAGCAAAACGCCAAAATGTCCGTGTTCCTCGCTTAGGCACTGGCCTTCCCCAGGGCCTGCAGTCAGGTTCCATACAGAGGAAGGAGAGGGCGTACTCTCCCAGCCATCTTGCTTCCCAGGCAATGGGAGGTTGGGAAAGGGCAAGCACCGTTTTTGTTTTTTGCCTGCCGCTGATTCACGTGTCCACTGGGATCTCAGCGGACTGCCATCCTCCCCACGGCGTGTGCTCTGGGAAGCCTTCTCCTGTTCTTCTCGCAGCGCCCTCTGGAGTAGGCAGGGGTTGTTCTGCTGTGTGGAGATGAAGGTCCTGAGGACGAGATGGCCGTAATGACCACAGTGGGCAGTACGTGCATGCTCTTCTCTAGGCCGGGCAGTAGTCCCAGCCCTGTGAATGTTGTGCGGTAACTCATTTGGTTCTCATCGTTACCTCACGAGGCGCATATACGGGATCATTTTATTACGAGAACGGGGAAGCCAGACACAGAGAAGTTGAGTAGCTTGTCTGAGGTCACACAGCTCAGAGGGAGTGCAGTGGGCCATGGCGGCAACCTGACTCCAGAGCCTCCTCCCTGTCTCATTCCCTTAGTGAGGGGCGTGTGTGTGTGTGTGGGTGGGGGTGTGTGTGTGTGTGTGTGTGTGTGTGTGTGTGTGTGTGTGTGTGTGTGTGTGTGTGTGTGTGTGTGTGTGTGTGTGTGTGTGTGTTCTCTGACTGGTGCAGGGGCCCTTGTTCCCGTCTTCATGAATTTAGCAAGTTGTTGTGTCTGTGAATACCAAGGCTTGTCCCAGATGCTGGGGAAATGGACACTAGGCAGTCCAAGCCCTTGGCCTCTGGACTCGGGCTCTCGTGAACTGAGTGGAAGAGTTGGGCCTGAAACCCTGCCGTCCGGGAGAGTCCTGATGCAGACGCGGCACCTCGTGTGCGTGGCCCGGCCCTGGCTTCACCGCAGTGCTGTCTCCTTCTCCTGCAGGTCGCCTGGTGGGTGCTCTGGACGCAGTGCTGGATTCCAATGCACGGGTCGCTCCGTTCCGAATTCTACTTCAAGTTCCCGGGTCCCAGGTTTATTCTCCCATCGCATGTGGTGAGTTACTGAACGGACCAGACGTTTACTGGGCCATAGCTACTGGTGAGTTCCGTTCCCGCTGGAACATTACCGACCTATGGTTTAAAGCATGCGGAGCATCTGCATGAAGGTAACCCCTTTAAAACCCTCGTCTGCTTTTAGGAATTCCTCTCCTCTCCAATCCTTGCACCGTCCTCTCCCCTCCTGATCCCCCTGTCCTGCTCTTCTCTCCTCCCCTCTCTTCTTTCTCTCTTCCACCTTCCTTTCTGTCTCCCTCTTTCCTTCCTCCCTTCCTTCCGTCAACCACCAAGAGCACACAGAGCTATAAGCTTGCACAGTGTAACTCAGGCATGCCCAGTGTTCGAGCAGCGTGTTTCAGAGCGCTCGTGTAACAGATGTGTTCCTGCGTGTGTGCACACATTGTAATGGTATGGCGTGAAATCTGAGGGCTGTGTCAGAGTCAGGGCCACCTCCACGCCTCTGTCCCACGTTTGCTCTGAGAGAAGGAAGCACTGGATGCTGGATGCTCAAGGAATTTAGAAATCACCTTCTCGTCTTTTTTTTTTTTCCGGGTAGGTTTTTGCTATAAGGTGCATGTGCTCGCCAGACAGACAGAGAGAGACAGAGAGACAGAAAGCGAGAAATCACCCCCCAGGGGGGATGGCCATGCCGCAATCCCTTCTCCTCCATTCTCCTCTCGGGATCTTGGGCACACACACACACGCGCCCGGAGTGAGTTTAAGTGGGTCTGAGACACAACCGCGGTCGACTACATGGGAGTCCAGCGACATAGCCATTATGCTAACTGATGGTCCCCCGAAATCACCTTCTCATCTTTATCTGAGGTTCCTGTTCTTTCTGCAGGCTTTACCTGGTGCTGTGTCACTGCTCAGGTTCCTCTGGGACCGACAATGGTTAAATCTGGAGAAGCTCCTCCTGTTAAAAAACAAAGGCCCAGCCTGGTGGCACAGTCATTAGCAAACTGAACGGCCATGCCGGAAGCCACGGGCTGACCATGGGTTCATCCCCAGGTTGGCCTGAAGACATGCTGGACATGTGTGCATATACCCGGGATCATGAGCTCGGGCGGGGGAGGGGAGGTTGTGGTGTGATGAGGTCCCGCTGGGGAGCGTCTCGTTCTCTCTCTAGTACGCACACGTGCTCTTGGTCATGAGTACAAGTAAACTGACTGGGCTGGCCCGTGGCCAGTGGCTAAGGGAGCGGGATCCCACTTGACTGACTGTGCGGTTTGAATTCCGGCCCTGGTGACTTGAAAACCTCACTGGGTACGTGTGCAGGCGTGCCCACAGTCCTGGCAGGATGGACAAGTGGAGGAGAAAGGTGTGGCAAGACCGTGCCTCACTGTGGGCTCTTTCTTTCTTCCTCTTCCTCTCTGTCTTTGGTCCCTCCTTGGCAAACACACGTGCCTTTTGGTAAATTAAAAAAAAAAAAATGATAAACTTAATTTTAAAAGGCAGGAAAAAACAAAGCCAAAATGTCTTGTCACACAAGTAACAAATGTTCACTTTCCAAAAACTGAAGAATGGATAAGAAGGAGAACCACCGGTCCACGTGAGCCCAGTGCGGACCCTCTGTGCACACATCTGTACACACTGCGCTAGCAGCTGCGTGGTTGTGTTTTGCCTCTTGACACGTTATTAGCTGCCATAACCTTCGTTAGCACCCTTGGTTCTC